GACCATTTTGAAATTATTAGACTGTTTTTGTCCATATAATTTATTCTTCAAATCTCCTTTGAGGTTTATAGAACAAAGGAACTGTTTTAGGTTTAGCAAAACATTTGAGCCATTTGCCAGTTTTAAATGTATAGAACAAAAAGCGCAACCTCTTTTTAGCTGTTAGCATTGTCCTAGATGTGTTGTGCAAACTAACAGGAAGTGAGTTTCCTGCCAATAGAAATATTCAGCATGGCTAGGTGGGTCACCTGGTGGGCTTCCTGGTGAGAGAATTTAAGCAGTGGCTGTGTGGATGGAATATTTTATGATTCTCTGGCACAGCTTATACTGTGAGAAAAAGAACATAATAGATCTGAAAATCCTATACATCAGCAGAATACTGTTCTTTAGAGCAAATGTGTAACACTTTAAATCCCCTGAAACACCTCTCAAGTGAGGTTTATAAAACTTTGTAAAGAAAAGCTGTTTATATATTTAAATTTGGAATTAAAATGTTAATTTTTGGAACAGGTTTCGCCTACAGGTTCATCACTTTTGATATATAATTACTCCTCCTGGTGGCTGTTTCTTATAAGAAATATATTTTTATATTTTAAATAATATATTAGTATTATTAATATTATAATATATTAATATTAACTTTTGTGAGTTATTCCTGATTTCATGCCTTTGACTTTTTCAACTAAGTGTGATAGACTCTAAATACAAAAACCTGGTCCTGGTCTGTCTTCTATGAAATATAAGAAGGAAATGGACCTCTGAATTACACAGTTGCACATAGCTCTGTTCTTTGCCTGTAAGCAGAAGACAATCACATGAACTCTGTGCATTTGCAGTGATGAAAGATAAAAGCCATCATCCATGTTTAGTTTATAGTATAATGTATTATGGGCTTTCCCTGATAGCTCAGTTGGTGGTAAAGAATCCATCTGCAATGCAGGAGACCCCGGTTCAATTCCTGGCTTGGGAAAAATCTGCTAGAGAAGGGATAGGCTACCTACTCCAATATTCTTGGGCTTCCCTTGTGGCTCAGCTGGTAAAGAATCTGCCTGCAATGTGGGAGACCTGGGTTTGATCCCTGGGTTGGGAAGATCCCCTGGAGAAGGGAAAAGCTACCCACTCCAGTATTCTGGCCTGGGGATTGCAAAGAGTTGGACACGACTGACTGACTTTCACTTTCCCTTTTCATAATGTGTTACAAATAGTTTGGGAATAATTTTAGGGATTATGTTTATCTGTGACTTCAGTTATACTTCCAGATGACATAAAATATTTATCAGTATCTCCCACTATCCCAGGGTTTTCATTCTGAATTTCTAATAAATTTTTGAACACCTCTACCTAAATATTCTGTAGTACCTTCAAGCTATCAGGTATCCAAAATTAAACTCATCTTCTTCCTGTTGATCTGCTTCTAGCATTTATTTATTCTGCTGCCACATGTTGTGTCTCTATAGTTTTTTAGGTCTTAAGATGGATGCTGGAGTTAAGTAGACATGATGCTGGCCAAGGAGAGCTACAGACTCTAGTAGAGACAAGAATTACAGTATTTCTTGAAAAATATAACATTAAGTTCAAAGGGTTGAGGTATGCTGAGAACAACCAATTTTGCACCTGGCTTTATAGAAGACTATGGCTGAGAAGGCAGTGCCACCCCACTCCAGTACTCTTGCCTGGAAAATCCCATGGACGGAGGAGCCTGGTAGGCTGCAGTCCACGGGGTCACGAAGAGTCGGACATGACTGAGCGACTTCACTTTCACTTTTCACTTTTATGCATTGGAGAAGGAAATGGCAACCCACTTCAGTGTTCTTGCCTGGAGAATCCCAGGGATGGGGTCGCACAGAGTCGGACATGATTGAAGTGACTTAGCAGCAGCAGTGGCTGAGAAGTAATCATCAATATGTCCTTCAGAAAGGGAGACCCAAACAGAGAAAGTTAAATAAAATTTCTAAGACCATACAGCTAGTAATTGATGAATATATTACTTGAACCAAAGTTTGTGACTTCAAAGAACATATTCTTAACGTCTATGCTAATGTATTATTCCCTTTTACTTATAAAGCTTAACATCAAAGAGAGTTAAGGAAAACACTTTTTATTACCACATACATGTATACTCTAAAATATATTAATAATTTTCACTCTGAATCAAAATGAAAATTTAAATCACATTCTTCATCCTCTGATGAGTAAGTAGAGAAACTGACATTTTATAATAATACTTGCTAAACATCCTAGAATTCTTATTATATAGGAAGGGCTATGTTTAGCACTTTACAAAAATTATAGCATTTAAGCATATAGAAATTCAAGCAGATAGGTACTATAACACTTCTTACAGTATAAATGAGAAAACTGAGGTCCAGAAAATTAAAGTGATTTGTCCTAGTCATATAGTGATAAGGCTGGGAACCAACAGAATTCTTCTGACTCTAAAGCCAGTACACTTGACCACTGTTCTCTATTGACTCCATTTAATAATGGTTTGAATTTAAAATTCTTTTAATAGAACCAGGTTTGACACTTGAAGGGGTAAATACTCAGCTTCATAGCAAAACTATATTATGTCAGATTTATCTCTGATTCTACAAAAATTATGCTAAAACATATCAAGATATATGGAAGACCTTTTGATTTTGAGATAGAAAAATTCATCCCAATTTTGAGATTACATAAAAGTAGTAGTTCTATACCACATGTTGTGAAGTGACCACTTTCTATAATGAAAATCAATTATTTTTGGAAAAAATATGAGTTTTACTTCAGTTTTTAGTTTGTGCTAGCTGACATGAAGTTCTTGTCAAGGCTTTGAATCAGAATAATACTTCGTTCCATCACTCAACAAAGGTGTAAATACTACGATTGCTCTTTTGCATTAGGAATGGAGTATGAGGAAAAGGACCCTGAACAGAGACTCATGAGTGGTTATTCTAGTAAGTAATGCCAGGTCATATTCAGTATTCAGTAAATATGGAGTAGTCAAAAAAGTGATATATTTTAAAATTCTTAAAAATTTTTATCAGTCATGGATGACAAGTTGAGTCAGTTGAATTCTACTGAATAAGGTGAGAATAGTCTGTTGACTCAGGTCATGAATGGGCTGGTTTGGGCTGTTTTTTTTTTTTCCCTTTTGAATAGAGATTTTTTTTTTCCATCAAATCAGAAGCCAGATAGATGATTTTCACTTCTCAGGGATCTCCTGGTATTTCTTATATAGTAAAGAAGTTGGTTTATATTAATTTTATGGCCTACTCCAAAACTGAGATTATATGATTCAGTGATTTCCCGATGGAGAGAGAGAAATGCTTTAAAAGAAAAATAAAACAACACCACCAACAACAAACTTGCTCTCTTTTGAGATGAAAGCATCTCAGAATTTCTTAGTTGAGATTCTGATAATAAATGAATGTTCTAGTACCAAGAGGGACTGTTGCTCTCACGATGCTGAAAGTGCCATAGGGCAGTAAGGTGGAGTCAAGAGGAGTGAACTGCTATTATCAGCCTAGCCCATTTGAGGTTTGCATTATATCCTAGCCAGATGTGTCATCTCTATTAAGAAATAGCTGCTTTCCAGAACAGGACCCTAGAACAGGTTCGAAAGACTTAATGAATCATGGGAAATATTTCCTTGTAAAATATGATTACATAATATGACCTAGATTCTACTTTACATTTGGATGATACATAAACAATTCTTTAGTGCTTTCACATATATTTTATTTGATTCATGTGTAAGACTGAGTTGGCTATTACTATCATCTCTAGTTTATAGAAGAGGAAATTGCGTTTTAAATAAGTTAATAACTGGCCTAAGATATTAGAACTAGTAAATGTCTGAAATAAGTCTTAAAGACAGGTTCCTGGGTTCCTCATTTTCTGCAACAGTGCTGTTTTCGTTCATTGATAAAGTGATTAGTGCAGCTATTGGGACCAGCTGTCTTGGCCCTTTACGCAGAGTCCTCATCAACTGGAAGCTTGCAGGTCTATTGCATACTGGACACAAAGCAAAGAAATCCAGTCATTTATCTTTGCTGACCAGGCTGAAGTAGTGATGCATGCTCTACAGTAGAGAATGGCTTTCTTGAGAGACCCACATTTTGTGGTGGAAGTGGAGCTACTGATGGAACTAGCTGAATAACTATTGGGAATATAGTTACTCTTTTTTGGAAGTTATTTATTCAAGTTTCTAAAGAAGATCACTGGCATCTTCAAGCACCAGTACAAGGGTCAATGTGGATGTCTTTAAGAATCCCATGGTGCATAAGCTGGGCTCTCCCTCGTTTTGACCATGACTGCTTTGTCTCCAAATAGGACGGACCTGAAGAAATCAAGTATAGTTTAATGTATCAAGAGCTCCTCATGCCCAATATCAAGGGGTTTACTTAACTAGTAATATCATCAACTGCACTGACATTTTCCTAAGGAAGAGAAGCATTTGCACTTCTCACTATGCCAAATACTAGGAAGTAACTTACTTATCTTGACCAATATTTCAACAAAACATTCTTCATTTATGATGTTTGCTAAGTGCTACAAGAAAACTCTTGACAGTGGAAAATGACGATTTCAAAGAGCTGTTGCAAGGCTCTATGGCACGACCACTGGTAAGTGGCAAGGACTGGTAGCTGCTCTTGCCTTTTGAGTTCAGGAAGTAGAAGGTATTCTCCATAACATTAATGGACATAGTTTCTTTGGCCTGGAAGAGCTGCGCCACAGAGAACTCAAGTTTGTCTTCCCAGAAATGAATAAAGATTCCAGAATCTGTTGATATGAGCTGCTCTAGGAACAGGGATTATGATGTTGACTAGAGAACATGGTGCAGTAGTGTTTAAGAGCCTGAGCTCTGGGGTCAAGCAGAACTCTTGTCGATCATAACCCTACCGTCTCCTATTTATGTTGGACAGTGTATCTGTCATCTGTAAACCTTGCTTTACTTAAGCGAAATAAAAAGCAGATTTATTCATTAATTTATTGCTCTTCTTTTCTTTTTTTTTTAGCTCCTATCATACTTCAGAACTAGATTAGAAGATAGATTTACCGTGGTAAATATAAACTTTTATTTATATAAATTTATTATTAGGGTTGTTTTGTGAATTAAATGAGGTCACTATGTACAGCATTTAGCATAAGACCTGTTTGAAGGTTTTCTTTAAGTAATAATATTAAACTCAGGAAGTACAAAAGAGCTGTCTTTAAAATACTGAAGTTTCCCAGTTAGACTTTTTATTTGTGGCTCCAAGGAACAAGTGAGAAGGTAAATAATATATAGTAAATCTAAGCATGATAAAAATAAGAAGTTTTGATAGTAAGAGTTGCCCATTAATGATTGTCTCAGAAAGGTGGGAGTTCCTTCTCACTCAAGGGGACCCAGAAGAAACTGCATGAATATCTGATAAGAATCTTATAATGGCAATTCCTGCGTTGAGTTGTGAAGATTGTATTCTTTTTATATATTATACATTTTTAACAATAACAATACTTATTATTGAGTGTTCATACCATACTATGAATATTCTAAGCATTTATCATTCATGAATTCATTTAATCCCTACAAAAATTACATGAAATGGGTACAAACAGAATGCCAGCATAACTAATGAGAAAGGAAGTTGAGTCATAGAAATAAAAAACTTGCCAAAATTCAAACAGCTATCCAGTGATGGAATTGGAAAATATTTCTGTAACTTTCTCGCCATGCTCCTTTTGGTCAACCTCTGATATAAGGCCTCATTTTGTGTCCAGTTGGTAAAATACATACTTGGGAAGCAGAAATTCAGTCCCTATCCTTTAGTCTCCTTAGGCATTCTACTAGCATTCTTTAAGGATTTGCTTTAATGTCATTCCTTTGGTATTTAGCTTACCTGAAGATTCAGCAAGCTGATGCGTGCCTACTAGTGATTTTCTATTAGCCAGGTACTTTCAGCTAGTTTTATCAGGTTTTTTAATGGAAAATAAGCCTCCACTTCATGGGTATTTTTCATGTGGAAAAATACCAAACCCTCAGGTTGAGCACTTATATTAATCTCCTTAGGGATTTTTCATCTCATACCTTGTTTCTGAGTCTAAGTTAAAAAACAAACAAACAAAAAACATTGTTTAGATGGAAATTAGAAGTATGAAGATGGTTCTTGCCTCCTGAAATGGCACAGATGAAGGATATTTCAGCTATAACTGAAGTCCTTTTTTGGCAAAGAAATGAGTTATTCTTTCCCACATGCATCTGTACTTTTATCCAAGTACAGAATTACCTTCCCCATTGAATTGCATTCCCCCAAATGCATTTTTCATAAGCTACAAGATATTCAATAATGACTTATATATTTCAGTACATGGCATAAAGTTCAGGAAAACTCTTTAGGAACTAGTGTGCTCGGTGGGGGTGGGGGGAGAGGGGGCTTCCCATGTGGCTCAATGGTAAAGTATCCGCTTGCCAATACAGGAGACCTGGATTCAGTCCCTGGGTCAGGAGGATACCCTGGAGGAGGAAATGGCAACCCATTCCAGTATTCTTGCCTGGAGAATCCTATGGACTGAGGAACCTGGTGGGCTGTAGTCCATAGGGTCACAAAGAGTTGGCCACAACTAAAGCAACTTAGCATGCATGCACGATTCACCTGTAGCCCCTTCTCTTTGGGAGAAGTGATAACAGCTAGCTTAAAGACTACATTCTGGAACCTATATTTCCTAAAGAGACCTTTTCCCTGAGAAAAAGAATATGTTTAAACTTGTTGCAAAACTTACAGAGGTATGTTTTACAATTGGCATCTTTGATTTCAAGGTGTTATACATTGTTACATGCATCATGGAACAACTCCATCACGCCTCCAGTGTTGTATGGCTTCAAGTCTGCTCTAGCTAAAGATCATTATGAAGAAGAAATTAGGAAATATATGCCCCTTTTCCATGAAGATGAAGTTTCTTCACAAGAGGAATATGCATTCTAATTAAGTATCTATTATTATTTCATTGCTCTCCCAAAACTAAGCCCTAGCACAACATTTTATAATCTGAACTGAGGCTGGCTTATTTGCCCCTTAACTTCTGCCACCGACTTACTGACTAAAGTTTCACCTGCTCTTCTGCACACACACTGGTATATTTTTGAAAAAAATGAAGCCACACATAGTCTTCTGAGTCCTTGATCAAAATTCTTGACTCCTGCTTTTACTTAGTACCCATATTCTTAGAAAAAGAAAAATCCTCTATAACCCAATATAAAAAGAAAGAGCAGTGGGGAGGGTAGTGTGAGGAATAAACTAGGAGGTTGGGATTAAAATATACACACTACTATATATAAAATAGGCAACCAGCAAGGACCTATTGTATATCACAGGGAACTGTACTCAGTATCTCAATATTTTGTAACCTGTGAGAGTGAAAGTTGCTCAGTCATGACCAACTCTTTGCAACCCCATGGACTATACAGTCCATGAAATTCTCCAGGCCAGAATACTGGAGTGGGTAGCCTTTCCCTTCTCCAGGGGATCTTCCCAACCCAGGGATCGAACCCAGGTCCTTTGCATTGCAGGTGGATCCTTTATCAGCTGAGCCACAAGGAAAGCCCAAGATTACTGGAGTGGGTAGCCTATCCCTTCTCCAGTGGATCTTCCCAACACAGGAATTGAACCAGGGTCTCCTGCATTGCAGGCAAGATTCTTTACCAACTCAGCTATCAGGGAACCTGTAAGGGAAAAGAATCTAAAATATATGTGTGTGTGTGTGTGTGTGTACCTGAAACTGACACAACATTGTAAGTCAACTGTACTTCAATATAGATAAATAAAAGGCAAATGTATCAGAATTGACGTCAGAGTAGAGGATTCCAAATCGCTGGGCCTGCGTTTTCTTTATTGCACTGTTCAGGCCATGCCAGGGACTTCCAAGAGTTCCTTATAATGATGTTTGAGGACCATTGGTTTTCATGAGTGGTTCTTAAATGCTAGTACCTGATTCATAGGAGACTTTTGTCCATTTCAAGACAAAATGAGAAAAAAATAAGAACCATTAAGTAATAAAAAGAATGCAAAATTACAACTATTATTTGATGTTAAGAAACAATTATGAAAGTACATTGTAATTTTTATCAATGTCTTTATAGAACGAAATTGGCAAGGCTACATTTGATTACCCATTTTTTCCCAGTTATATTTTTTAAAAGTTACCATTTATATTGGTTATTTTAGAAAGTTAGGAAAGAAAAAAAGAAACAAGAAAAAAAATTCTTATGATATAACATTAAGCAAAATAGAATACAAACAAAACTGTATATATGATATTATTACTGATATAGGAAACTCTAACTATATACAGATAAGTGATAAAAATGATTTTTCCTAAAGATTGTGGGTGATTTTTTGTCTTAGATTTATATTGTGCTTTTTACTTTAATTTGCAATAAATAATTATGAAAAAAGATTTAACTGGTCTGTGAAACCCAGAAATCTCTGTATCACTGGATCAATATTTGAGGTCTTTTTTTTGACCAACAGTTTCTGTCACAAAATGTCCTTAGTTCTTTGCTTTGCTTTTCATGGGAACTTTCACAGAGAAAGCAGAAATATTCAGGCACTATTCCAGTCTGCATCCCTTTCTCCATAAAGTGGTCCTCTATACTGGGTTAGTTTCCTAGTCTACTTAGGGCTATTTTTGGAAAGGAGTAAGTCTCTGTCCTTGAGGAAAAAGGTGTCAAAGAGACCTGTGGATATTGGAGAAGACAGGATGCCTTAAAAGTAAACATACTGACGCTTTGCACTTAGCAAATCCTCTCAAATTCAGGGCCAGTTTATACCTGAAAGCATCTACTTTTTTTTCCCACTTTTTCCTCCTTATCTTTTCTCTATTTTATCATGTATCATACATGCAGGAGTATTTGTATTAATAATACACAGATACAGTTTAAACAATGATAATAATATCAACAACCACAACACAAATGCTCAGATAGATACCTATCACACAATATAAGAAATAGCATAAGCTCTATCTTTGAAATCTTTTATGTCATATAAAATCATATAAATCTTTTATATGCCCTTTTCCTAATTCCCATTCTTTTTTTAACCACTTTGAAATTTAGAGACAGATTTTGTTTAAAATCTGAAATGCAATTCCTAAAATATCACCTTCTCCAGAAAACTGTGGCTATACAATAGTGCATTGCCTTTATCATGTTAGAATGTGTGTTAGATTCAAATGCAAAAACTGTGGACCAAACTACCATCCTTCAACAATTTGAACGATATTAACAGAATGTTTAAGCAACAACACAAATGAACTTTCAGAGGATGGGCTCTTTTACTTCAAGCACTTAAAAAAAGCACAAATGCTTGGGTTTTCAGGTATATATATATTAAGTTGAACCTTTGGAACTAGGAATCAGGGCATTTTTTGCACACAGTCTTAACACAGAAAATTGTGTAGTTTCAAAGAGGTAGAATCACAAGCATTCAAGCGATGTTGTCAAGTAGGCAATAAAATGTTCCAGTGAATGTTTCTTCTTTGTCTAATTACTGCGTGCACTGGTAGGAACTTTGAAATGAGAAAAGGAGCCTGCACTCCTTTTATTTTCTGTTTAGAGCAAAACAGAAAACTAACTGAAGCATAAGCCCTGTTATACATTAGCAATTTTAAAGAACATCAATTATACAAGAGAAAGACTAAGAACAAAAAGAGTGTTTACAGATAGCAGACATAACAGTTAGTATTCAGTAGACCCTCACAGGGCTTTGTGGTGGTTCTCAGCAGAAGCCACTCTGTAATCATTGGCAGTAAACAGAGACATAGCATCTTTTGCCAGGAGTTCTAGGAAATCATGCAAACAGCCCAGCAATAGTGCAAGACTTCTCATCAAGAGGCGTGTGTGCCACTATTACTCCAATTCTTACAAATAATCTCAGTAGGTGTGGTGCTGCCTAACCCTGGGACATTGGCACATCAGGGTGAGCCAAGAGGATTTTGGCATACTGGAGTCTCTAAAATGTGTAGAGCCGCGCCCAGTATCATATTGAAATACTCTTTTATTCCTGTCACAACTTTGTTAACC